AACATGAACTTTAATATTTACATTACCAGACTACAGTGTTACATAATTTCAAATCCGAGATGTACCTAACCGACCAAAATCCATGGAAAATAATTAAATATCATGATTAAATTAGACACGAAGAAAGAACAACTCGTCTTCGTGAATGATCAAATATTCTAAATATCGAGATGCAAAATCAACTCCAAGTTGAGATGTTTCTAAGCCTCGGGTTGTTTTCGCAACGGCTAACCGAGCCTGCATCTGTTTACAATCATTGTCCGTAATAATAAACATCTGTCAAAGCGGCGAGATCAAATCGAACGCAAACTTTATTAAAGTTAAATAAGAAAATTCATTGAGGCGGAAACTTTCTATTACTGGGGGATAGAGAGAAAATCTCTTATCAAAAGCGATTATTGGCCTGAGATTAATATCTATCGGATGCGGTATGAGGCCACTTGATAGGGTTTTAAAGCGATAATCTTTTGTGTGAGAGGTTTTTTGTAAAGGGAATGTGTAAGCATGTGAGAGCTTGTTTGATGTTATTAACTAGCGTTATAGATTTTATATAACAGTTCTAAAATTACGTTATGTTATTATTCAGGGAGAGGGACTAATCTACAAACAAACTTACACTTCGCTATATAACTAACGAACTAACATTCAAGAGTCACTTTTGATTATTAGACAATCTCAAAATTTCAATAACAGACTGTTAAGTAAAAGTACTAAGTACAGATATCTATCCTCTTTTAAATAAAACAATTTGACTGTTTAAAACGTAATATATAGTAGTTAAACTTATTTGAAACTTATTACTTTAACTACGGCCCGACGTTTCGGATGCTTTGTAGTAGCCGTGGTTACGCGTTTTAAAACGTTAAAGTATTTTATTTAAATGTGTACTACTCGCGTGAACTACAGACACTATATCTTTTCTCATCATAAGATGTATTTGTTGACGCAATCTCTATATTAAAATAGATAAAAAAAGCAATAAAAATTATTATTTGTGTAAAATATTCGAAGGCAATCGCGCAATATTTCAACGCCACGGCCCGCATTGCATAAAACTATAAATAAAAATTACATTATCTGTGCGGGCAGCTCAGCCTGTCATTTCAGAACAATATGACAGGTTCATTCCCTTATCCCCAGTGTATATTAAAATGCAAATCAAACTGTGCCTCGGTAATTTTTTTCTGCAAAATCAATACTTTTGCTGTTACACCGTAGACGTGATATTTTTATGAGAACAAAAAATAGACGTCTACTTGTTTATCCCTTCCATTGTAATACTTAGAGAAGACTTGTAACTCATAGCTTAAATCATTTATCGAAAGAGGTTTAGTCTAAAAACTAATAAATCACACACACATACGCCTACATTATTTTTTTATATGAAGAGCAACCTATTTATTTAGTTTTTTCTATCTATAAAAATTATGTAATTAAAACGCGTGTCTGCGGAGTCCGTACAATCTACTCGAGCCAAAGACGTAATCGAACTCGAGTTATAGTCACGTCCGTAATATATTTTCTTCTGACTTTCCGTAAAGACGTGGTACCAAATCTTTTTTATTCCAATATGTTCGGGCATAAAATTTCCCCTTTACGAGCGCAATAAAATTCTTAATCGAAAATTAATGTGGCAACCGCCGAAAGGCTGTGTCTATTGCAAGCGCAAAGAGGGTAGTTTGGTTTGCTTGTTGTTCATTAATTGCGTTCATAAGTCCTGTGGCGGCCTCTTTATGGCGGACACAGCCGCTCGGGGCGAGCTACCTTATGCAAATGGCTCGCCGCGTGTTAGTAACGACATTATAACAATTTAAGAAATAAAATATCACTGAGAATTTAGTTCTAGCATGTTATTGAATTTTTTCATTTAATGTGTTTTCTGACATCTGTAATACATCTAGTGGAGAATACTTATTTTACAAGCAGTAGCTGTCGATAGTTTTTTTTTGTATGTTTTATAAAACTACCTTTGAATAACAAGGTAATATTAATTCACAAATTGACATAAATAGCATCTGTAGCTTATTTACTGGAATACAAAAAGATTCATAAACGACTACCCACTTCAGCACATTTTATAACCTCTATGACAAAGAGAAATAAATTAAGCCACTATCATTATGCAAATTTAGAATTTCGCGGCCACTTTGCTAGAATAAATGAAAAAGCATAAACGGGACAAGTCCTCTCCGCTTCGTAAAGATCAGATGAAAACCTTTTTGAATAAAATTGAATATCTACGTTTGAATGTATGTATGATTTCAAATATGTATTTACAGATATTGAATACAGAAGAAGGCTTTTACAATAATGACGTACACACTGGCGCACTTCATTGTAAACACGACGTAACGCACACATATAAGGATCAACGGTGGCGTAAAGCTTTATCAACTACTAGCTGTGTCAGCGACTTCGTCCGCATATAATAGTTATTTTGAGCATAAAAATCATTACTATTTTAAACTGTTACCAATGACACCGGTCGCGTCCCATCGTTCTTGCAAGTTAATTTTAAAAGACTTATAGTGTCCCGGACATTTTTTTTAGATCATTCAAAGAGAAATATTTCTTTCATAGATATTTTCGGGTATCTTGAACCGTTTTCGCAGCGCACGCAACGGTAACCCACAAGGATGATTAATTTTCCCCGTTATTTTTTCCACATGTTTTTGCTGTTTCTTCGCTCCTATTAGTTGTAGTGCGATGTTTTATAGCATATAAATATTTCTCGATAAATACCATAATTAACACAAAAATATATTTTCTATTCGAACCAGTAGTTCCTGAGAGTAGCAAGTTCAAACAAACAAACCCTTCAGCTTTACATATCAGTATAGATATAATAGTTCTTTGCCTAATTACTACAAAAATTGTGTTGTATGTACTTAGAATAAATAAATGACACAAAGAGTATAATTAAGTAATTATAAAGCGGTTAGTTTTATAAAGCAGGAGCTAATTATGCAGGAAGGGTTAAAAAGGGTGCGATTTTTGGTTGGAATTTTATGTTCATTATTATGATTTTCTTTATTCTCTATGCTAATGTGAAACATGTGGTAGTAAAGCTTTGTTAAGCAGTCGATAAAATGATTTGAGATTTTTTTACCAGGTCTCTAACATAATTGTAAACAATTTAAAAGTTTTGGAAACCCTATAAAAATTATTAAATGGCTGGTAGAAATATCGAAATTCCTTTCAAATCACAAAACACCGTCCACAGATGAAAAAGCTCTGATGTTTACTCGGGTTAGTTCGTTTCGGTCTGTGGATTTACGAATATAAAGCCAAAATAGGACGACAGCGCATCTTGTTTAGATGTTATATGGCTGCGGTATTTATCCCACCATCAAGAAGTTTGATGGTACAACGGTGTTCTTGATATTTATCAACAAAATTTAATCGTTCACTATTATAACGATTTCGTTAGGGTACAGAAATAGAACTCTCTCTGTAGAAGTCTGCCTTAAATTAAATAGATTCGATATTCAAATTAAAATCCACTCAAATAATAATTATACCTGTCGTTGTAACAACACCCCAACACTATTCTCACGGAACCACTATTTAACCCTTGTGTGCTTCTGTTTCCAACATAGGCGTAATAAGTACGGGGTATTATGTAAATGTTCTCCTTAGCAGGTCACAGTTACGAAAATCACTGTAAAACCAACCCTATTACCGTCACTTAAGTATCATTACAGCTTGTACTAGCGCATTGCAAGTATTTTAGAGGAATTTTACCTCAACTACCTTTACGCGATGATTGTCGTTATTATTTTTAACATATTCACACAATTATCAGATTCGTACGAAATTTCTGTTATATAATATTTTTATTTAAATTTAAATAACTTTACTTGTTCTAAATTCGATATATTGCTTTGTGGTAACTTTATTTTTAATACTGGTACATTCGTGAAAAAAAGTTTGTTATCTTGCCAGACAGAAATATACCTAGTAAATCAATACATCGATGTTTTTGTAAATAATATTTGATATCTTGTAATAATTTTAATTAATAGTACCTATTTAAATAAAACTCTTTAACGGTTTAAAACGCGATAAATTAGTTAAACTTATTTGAAAATGATTTTTAACGTCGGGCCGAAGTTAAAAATCATTTTCAAATAAGTTTAACTAATATATCGCGTTTTAAACCGTTAAAGTGTTTTATTTAAATGTGTACTACTCGCGTAAACTATAGACAATTACAATAAAGTTACCTGATATATTTCGCGTTTTACACCGATAAAAGTGTTGCATTAAGAGACAATACTTAATAAATAAATTACTTAGTTCTAGTCTATTTTATTTATCTTATATAGATAGCATTGAGTATTTATTGCATCACATGTGTTCACCACTCTTATCCCGTAGATGCAACAACTACCAGGACCTACGTCACTCGTGAAAAATCAGATAACGAAGAGTTCGTGACGAGTGTCCCCGTTCCCATACGCACAACCGTAATTATGAGACCTAATAATTACAAGGTGTTATTTCACTGGCGTAATTATACTCGATTTTCGTGCTATCGTCAGTTCGTTCTTTACATTCTCGTAATACTTAAATAACAACTTAATAGTAGCATGCAAGATGGCTAGACTCCCATTTGTTTTGCCAACTTTCGTATTTTGATTCAAGAATTCAGTTTGGACGTAATTTATTTCTTGGAACGACCGAAGTTTTCACTTTACTGCGGAATTATACTCAAAAACACATATTATGGTAATCCGAAAGGTGTCTAGACTGTGAAATGCTAGCTTTATTGAGACACTTTTGTTACACTGTGATAGGTCTTAGATTCAACACCTTCATGCCTGCCATGTATTTAAATGATAGAAATGTCGAAAATCTACTCTCACGTAAATAGACTATACATTTTTTGCGCGAAATTCTGAATCATAATAGCAGTGACAAACAAGTGGGGGTCTCGCAGACTAAAACTGTACATGACTTACCACCAGCGTTGACTTGAGAGGTGAGGAAGAGCAGACATGCGACGAGTAGAGCGGTGGTGCGGTGTCGAGCGCGTCGCCGCTCTATCATCTTACCGGCGCAGGAGTGCGCCAACGCCTGCACCAAAGACCACGTCACTACCCACCATTACAGCGCGGAGACCGCGCTTCCACCCACGACGCCCTTTCAGCCACCTACTTACTTACACTATACACATCACAACCGGGTTTTGCCACTTACATTTACCTAACCTAACGATATCACATAAAATACGACAACCGCTTCGATGATTAAAAAACTCGAAAATCTAAAAAGATTGTAAAGGACAACGATTAGTAACTATTGGTAAATATGTACAACGATATTTGTTCGTTTTTAATGAGGTTTCGTTTCACTGCGTTAGGAAGCACAGTTCGAGTCCGGCTCAACCATATTCCATTATCGATGTTGGGTGTTCCTCAACTTTCTTGGAAATTACGACACTTGCACGTTCGTCTGCCACTACGGTCAACACAATTCGCGATCAAGCACATTTTTTTCTATATGTCTGGACCGGACGTTCTCTTCGCTCTTCAGACCTGAAATTTTTTTCATGTACACGTCGGGTTCAACTACCCGTACTATGTCGGGTTGATGTATCGTATGTTAAAACGGAATCGGGATGCGCATTCGAAATAAGATTACAATTCGGAGCGAAAGCATCGTCTGTAAACTGTAATTTTATCTGAAAAATAACGATGCACTAGTATGTGAATTGATGTGTCAATTAAGAGTCATTATGGTTCCGATGTTTATTTTTATCGACTTAATGGCTCTCGGCTTTCGATATAAATAAAAAATACATTGAGTTTATATTCGCAATATGTTTACAGAAGGTTGGAAGTCTTGTTATAATGCATTTCAAATATATTATATCTATACACAAGACAGCACTCTAGGTGAACAAATTGTATTAGATTTAATACTGGCTGCAGTTTATGCGAGTAAAACACTTTAAGCAGCCGTGGACACGGGGCGACTCCCGCGACCACGGCCGTAGTTAAAATAATTTTCGTAGTAAGTAGTAAGTATTTTATTTAAATGATGTAGCCTTAACTCGTTAATAATAATAGAAATTATGTAATCTGAATTGCGTTACGAACAACCCTAACACGATTAAGTAATATATTGACTATCTATTCAATCACGTCTTATGTAAATAGAAAAAGCAATTGTAAAAGAGGCATCTGGCTTCCGACCTCGCTGAAGTAAATACGTGTGACGGCGTGCAGGCTTCGAGAAGGCGCTGAAACGTGCTTAGTATAAAGCCTGAATCCAGTGAAAACTGAGCTTTAAATCGAGGCTTTGATACATTTTATTGGAGAAAATATTACTCTTTATTTGACTTTCACAAACAATTCATCTAGGAGTAGAGTTTTTAAAATTTTATCTAGTATAAATACATTTTGTTAAGTTCAGTTGAATACTTTTTCATACTTGAAAAGTACAAATTTTTGAGTTGAGCGTACATAGTTTTTTCTTAAGGTTTAATAGTAATAAGAGCTCATCTCTCATTGCAAATTTAATTATAAGAATTTGCTAAATTATTTAGTTACTTATACTTATTTGCCGTTGATGCTATCTATAATATATTTAGTACTTTATATCGTGTAAGAGTAATAAATATGTACTCACTAAGTGTATTGATAACACTTTAGAAATCGTATCGTCGAATACGTAATACACGCAAAATGTGCTCCGGAATATACTATATATATACTTAAAATCATCTAGCACGGCTTCGGTGAAGGTACACACATTTCCAGCGAATTCCCGCTTCAACAACATATCGTACAATACTCGACCCATTGAATTGCCATTCGATCAAAATAAAATATCAACTGTATTATGACGTCAGAATTCAATATAATCCACACATCGAAGGCAGTTCGCAAGACTTACAAGTTTCAATAATACGCCGGCAGGTGTGGCCGGTATATTTGCATACAAGTGGAAATCAAAGTTACCCCGACCTTATCGCTTTGCTTTGCCGGATCGAGACGGGGACAAAATTAATAACGAGAACCGGTTATTATAAAAGTTCTGTGTGACTTCGATAGCTAAGTTAGTATGACCGCTTTTGCAGCGAGATGTCCTTGGTTCGGATCCGGGGAAACAATAGATCAACTAATCCGATCAAAAACCGATCAGTGAAGGGGACACAGAAATGTGTTCGCCCCGTGGGGGGAAAATTTTATTTTATATACTTCATCTAAATAACGAACATGTGAAACTACTAGCACTATGTCTTAGTTTAGTCACTGGTATTATATATATATTATTATTCCTAAATAGATAAAAACATGTTTTGTATATATTTTTGCAAAGAAATTATATGATTAGTTGAATATTTAAAAGACTAACAATACTTAAACTATTATTTTAAGCTAATATTAATAAAGCGTAAATAACTCACGTAAGACTTATTAATATACCAATATGTTGTAAGAATGAAAAGCGTTTCGTGTTTTTGATAGCAACATGCTTCTGCAATATACCTCGATCACTCCCTCGAACATTTACCTTTACTATTTGATTCGACGAAATTCGGTATTATTATCTACTATTACGCTAGTTATTATCTCTCACTTTGATACGGTCATGACTAGTATTATACCAGTATCTATAGAAACATATTATGACAGTGTTGATTTAATTACACAAAGTTGGAATCACTGAAGAATAGTATTTGATTCACGAATCTACGAAAACTTTGTTGTTAACGGCTTGATGCCAAAGGTAAAACAAAACTTATTTACTTCGTAAGAGTCAGTGATTCTGGGTTCGCATCCCGGAATAATTTAAAAAAATATTTCAGTGTCCGACTCTGAAAAAAAGTCTGATCATTTGCATATGCGTGTACCCTATGTCCTATGTATTTGTAATTGGGTTTTACTAATTCTTATGAGGTGAGTAGTACCTATAAAAATTAACCAACAGTACGATATTAAGAAATGAATTAGAGATTAGATGTCAATATATCAGTTTCTTTTGCAAACAAGGATTACTCCTAGTCCAAGTTTGACTAATATATCGCGTTTTAAACCGTTAAAGTGTTTTATTTAAAAGGATTACTCCGCCAGTTGTTTCGGTAACAAAAAAATATGTAGCAACAAAACGGTCTATTCACGAAAGTGGGTTGGAGTTATTGAGCGTTGTTTATGCGTGATTAATCAGTTGTGTTCGCCCTGTTTTGTAATCATATTAGTTGTTGTCTTATAGGGCTGTATCTTTTTCGTAGTCGATCGTTCAATATCGTATTTATGATACACTACGTCTACTCACGAGCATCAAATGTGATAGTTCATATTGACTCTATTTAAAATTGATAAAATAGTCGTCATGTTTCATTATTACAGAAGGATTAATTTGAAACTTTATTTTTTCAATTGTTATTGTAAGGAAAGCAATAATAAAATTATACATATTATATATATGATTTTACAAACAACATTTATCGCACTTCCGACTAAAAGATCTGCGAGATCTGAACTATACTGACAGACAGAAAAATAAAACTTACGCGATTCGAGTTGCTAGCGAGTTTACAAAACTCATGGTTGAGGTAAATACAAAAACCTCCTTAGACAGCCCTATAAAACACAAGAACAAGACGTCGCCCGCCGTCATCTATCACGTTCCAACTCGGAAACGTTTAATCACGTCTCGATCTTAATTAACTAACTACCGTATTTGCTAACTCGCTCCGCGACAATCGTTCTGTTTTCAAATTATTAGTACGCAACTCAACTTATTCATTGGAACTTCCAAATTGAGTACGCAACGTTATCGAATTTAAATTGGGAATAAAAGGACGTTGAACAATTCCACTCCACTCTAACGTTTCAGTGTTTCCAAGTATAGTAAGGTCTTATATAAGCAAGACTTAATAAAAATAAATCTGAATATAAAACCTTTTTAATTATCTAAAAATATTATAAGACATTTTAAACAACGTTTGATTGGAATAGAAGTGAAGAAGACTATAATATCAATATGTACTCGTGTCACACGCGGTGTTCGATGGGTTGCGGCGGCAAAAATAAAACTAGGTTGTAAACTTTAGCTAAAATAACTTAAAGATGTTTATAATCTTACCTAGAAAGGACTTAATGCCTGTACTTATTCGGTAGAGACATTAAAACTGCAAAGCTAATTTGTTCTTGTAACAAGTCCGGAACAGTTGCCTACACTAATATTTGTGCTAACCATACGAGGTCTCAGTACACTGTTTACAGAGCCTGTCTTCACATAGGGAATCTTAATTAAAGTGATTGAGTGCGTGCTTATGTACCGAGGCGTGTAATTATCATTTCCATGTGATCTTTGACTGTTTGGATTAATACATGGCTTTTGTGACGCCGAGGCGGGAGTAAATGACGGTATGTACCACACCTGAAGCCGCCGTGAATTAGAGGAACCGCTAAAATGTGGCCGAAGAGCACTTTGCGCCGTTAATAGATAAGCGGTAAGGTATCTGATACAAGAACATATCATTAAGAATTTAAACGGTTTAAAACGCGAAATGTGAAGCGTCTTGTGACACATATGCCTAACACTAAACCACAAAGATGTAGTTAGATATTAACTAGTTATCTTTCTCGAAATTCTAATTCAGACACTCTCAAAATTAGAGCAATTTGGAAAAAAATTTACAATGAAGGCAATCATAGTATAATTTAATTTCACAAAATCTTAAAAAAATATTGGTATTAAGTTATTAGCCGCACTAACAAAGTAACAGCGTGAAATATTAGATAGACGGGCGGCGATTTTCAATCAAAAACACAGCAATAACAAACTTTTATCCCCCGTAAATTGCCATATACAAAAGCTATAAATTATCACGCGGTACTGAAACAAATGTCGTTGTCAACGGACGGCTAATCCTCGCTGCACTGTCAGAATTATCGCTGATGTAAATATTCCTATGCTGCGAATTCGCGTCTAAATCGCGCGGACTGTTAGCGATTTATTGGGAGATTTAGCCGGTATTCACTGTGTTGACTTTATATAATAGACATACGTGGGCGTCACCGATAAATTGAGTAATATGCTGGAAATATTCGAGATAATTGGCCTTAAAGACCGACCAAGCTACAACTTGCAATTTAGAGGTACTTCCATCGAAAGTATTGCACTAGTAATTCAATTTAAACCTCTCCATACGATTAAAAAACAAAAGTAAACTAATTAATTTACAGGACACAAAATCTTACATAATACAATGATAAAGTACGCTTTGTTTATA